CCGCTCCCTTGCCCCCCTTGCCCTTGCCAGAGCGGCGTCTCCCGCTAGGGGCAGACGCCGCACCGACCGACTCAAGACCAACGAGGTCGGCCGCAGCGGCAGAGGTGACAGAGGGCAGGAGAGGGGAAGGAGAACACCCCTCAAAGATGGGGGCGCGGGGGTCACCTCGAGAGGCTCCTACAGCAACTATGCTCTTCTCTGCTGCAAGGAGGGCCTTCTCGAGGCTGTCGACTGTGAGGGTGGTGGGACAGACCGCGAGGAAGTGGTCCCGGACTACACGAAGGGAGTCAGGGAGGCGAGTGACTAAGAGGTAGAGAGTGATGTACATGGGGGGGGGGTTCTTGGCGCAGAAGTCAGCAGGAAGCGCAGCGCGGTAGCGAGTGTCACTAGTGCGGAGGTGCGTGATGAGATCAGCGACAGTGGGAAAGGCGGCAAGGTCAGGGAAGAGGAAGGGGAGCATGAGGCGGCTCAGTGCAGCAGTGGCAGGGGAGGAGTAGCGCGCAACTACAGCGTCGTACAAGGTCTGAGCACTCTTGTACTGGCTAAAGTGCGCGCGCTCAGCGGTAGGCAGGTGGCGACGCATAGCAAGACGTGCAGCAGCATCGCGCGTGGCCCACTGAGAGCGAACAGTGGCGTCAGCATCAGCAGCAGGGGCAGGGACGGCGCCAGAGGTGAGGTCAAAGAGAGACAGACTGTCAGCCCTGTCGCACTGTAAAAACAGCTGCAGGTCGTCGAGCCAGACCTCAAAGTCAATGGCTCGACCCTCAGCGTCAAAAGCGAGGACACTGGGTGTAGCCATGACGACGACAGTGGAGCAGTGCAAGCAGTAGGGGAAGGGTACGCAGTGACAGCACTGCAGTGCTCACCGGGCAGGGCAGGTCGGGCGGCTCGGGAGGAAGGTCGCCTGGCGAAACGGCCGCTAGGCTGCTGGGCGGCTCGGCTCCCGGGCGGCTCGGCTGCTGCTGGGCGGCTCGGCTGCTGCTGGGCGGCTCGGCGGCTGCTGGGCGGCTCAGCGGCTCCGGGCGGCTCGGCTGCTGCTGGGCGGCTCGGCGGCTCCGGGCGGCTCGGCTGCTGCTGGGTGGCTCGGCTGCTGCTGGGCGGCTCGGCGGCTCCTGGGCGGCTCGGCTGCTCCGGGCGGCTCGGCTGCTGCAGTTGGGCGGCTCGGCTGCTGCAGTCGGGCGGCGCGAGAGCAAGGGGCGGCGGGGCCGCGTTATCAGGGGCGGCGGGGCCGTGAGCGCTGGGGCGGCGGGGCCGCGAGATCAGGGACGGCGGGGCCGTGAGATCAGGGGCGGCGGGGCCGGGAGCGCTGGGGCGGCGGGGCCGCGTATCAGGGGCGGTAGGGCCGGGAGCGCCGGGGCGACGGGGCCGCATATCAGGGGCAGCGGGGCCGGAAGCGCTGGGGCGGAGGGGCCGCGAGATCAGGGGCGGAGGGGGGGCCGTGAGCGCTGAGGCGGCGGGGCCGTGAGATCAGGGACGGCGGGGCCGCAACGGCGGCGCGAGGGCGGGCAGCGGGGCGTGGGCGCTAAGGCGGCGCTCGGGCTGCCAGGGCGGGCGGCTCGCTAAGGCGGCGCTCGGGCCGTTAGGGCAGATCGAAAAAAAAAAGTAAGAGCAAGGGCCCGGAGCGCGCTCCGGGCAGAAAAAAAGGTTCGATGTGGTGGGCCCTAAGCACAGTTCCCACGGGGGAACCTGCTCGATACCATGAGAAAGTTAGAACGAGAATGAATGGACTATGAATGAAGTGAGTACAAATATGAAACCCTAATTGTGTTGTACCCCCTATGGGATACCCCACTATAGCCTACACAAATATGTAAGCTATAATGTTCTGACAAACACCCCGTAGTCTAGCGCACGACTATTGTAGAGTGACTCTCCGCAACACTATGCAGGGCAAGCTCTGCCAGCGCAGCAGAAGAGCGACTTGCAACGCTGCAACAGAGTGGTCTGCCAGCGTTGCACTGCGCGCGACCTACCAGCACTGCAGTCGCAGATGACTATGTGCAATCACATGTTGTCTATCTCCAATTGCAGTTGACTATCTGCGCACATGTGCGCACTTACCAAGTAGGTGCAAGCTGACGGTTTTACCGCCAGGCACATTGCGCAGGTGGCATGTAGAAAATGTGTCGTCAATTTCTCTATGTGCTAACCGTCGAGCATGTGCTGCCGTTCTGCAGGTCGAACTTCGCCAAAACCTCCTAGGCGAATTTCCCACACCTCTGCAAGTTTGGTCGACCAGCTGGATGCCGCTCGGTCGAACATCGTTCGCCGAGCAGAGCTTCTCGACCAGAACTCTTCGACGGGCCTCGTCGACCAGCACTTCTCGACAGGCTCGTCGACCAGCGCTCATTAACGGGCCTCATCGACGGGCCTCCTCGACCGCTAATTTCGACCAACGCTGCATGTCGACGATGTTGACCAGATTCCGTCGAGCAGAGCTTGCTCAACCGCGACCTCCGTCGAAGACACTCGACGACCACTTCGCCGATAACTTCTCGTCGACGGCGAGATCGGGTGCGCTCAATTGAGGGCGGTGCCCTTCTCTTCGACATTCATCACGTTCAACAATTCTGTGGGTTGTGTGAGCTTAAAGACAGGGTCTCAAGTGGACTATGTGTTTTGCAATCGATGAAAAAATTGTCTGTCTGATTGGTTAACAATTATGGAGCCAAACTTTTGTCGAATCAAGACTCGCGAAAGAACTCACTTTCGCCCAAATGTTTTGCAGTTGAACGGCCAACCCGTACATGAGACCCTGGCTTTAAGGTTGGAAGGCAACGGGAGGATTTGAGAAACGGTTGAGACTTAGTACAATATCGGTAAATAGTATGGTCTGTGAAGAAATGAGGAATGCAGTGAGGAGCCATAGCTAGGGTTTAGCTAGCTAGGCAAGAGAGAAATGAACAAAAGGAGGAGTTTCACTAGCAGCAGTTGGGATACATATAGCAAACCCTAACAGGGTTGTACTCGCTATAGAGCACCCCACTACAGGCTAGATAATAACATTCTGACACACCCCCATAGCCAAAGTGGGGTGTAATCAGCAGAGCACACAGTCATAGAGCAGGTGCACAATTGCAAGCAAAGCTAGAGGCTATCACAGAGGGCAAGTGAGGAGGAGGAGGAACTGTGGAAGGAGAGAAGATGAGAGGCAACGACTAAAGCTGCAGAGGCACGGGCACAGGAGCGGCTGACTCAGTGGCTACCGAAGCAAGGGCGACGGACTACTGGAGTGACTAGCTCCGCGGCTAAGACGAGCGGCAGGAGCAACGGACCCACTGGCGACTGGTGCAACAGGCTCACTGGCTACCGAAGCAAGGGCGACGGACTACAGGCGCTGCAGGCGACACGACAGCTACCTCCACACAACCTCCTCCAACTGACCTACACCCTTGAGACACACCCCCTGCTGAACCCCTAACTCCACTCCCACGTCACCCCCCTAGCACCACTCCTTCGGCTCCCACACACCCACCCCCCTGAGTGGCAGCTGCAGCAGCGGAAGACGGAGGATGAGGAGGAGCAGGGGACGGCGCACACAACCGGCACCCCCACAACCGTCACCCCCACACTCCCCACCCCCAAACCCTAAAACGGGTGGCACGGGGTAGGAGCGCGGGGGACGGCGAGGGGGGCGGCGCGCGGCCCCCAGGGCGCCACCACGGGGCAGCGAGAGGGGGCCGCGCGCGGCGCTAGGGGTGGCGTAATATACACAGTACGTATGGTGTAGTGAACGTCAAATTGTTCAGTTACCAGTTAGTGTTCATTATCATTCAGACAATAATTATGACGAGGTATGCACGATGGTTACAACAAAGACGGCGATAAGATGTGTTTGTTATGGTATATTCACACGTCTACAATTACCCTAATATGTCGTCTTGTGCTGCCCGCAGGCAAGAAAAAAATAAACCCCTTTCAGAAGGCATGCGTTCGCAACTCATCGACCCTGAACACCATAGTGTTTAAGGTTTAGGCGTCGCGAGCGCATGCCTTCCAATGGGGGTTTATTTTTGTTGCCAGTGGGCAACACTAAAAGACAGTTGGTGGAACTGAACCCACTAGGTGGATTGGTGCATTGCTGAACACCAGTAAAAACTGATTTTGAATGCATCGATATTCGTTACTCTTGAGATAAATGCCCCTCTATTTTTTCTCGACTCGACTCGTGTCGAGATCATCGACTCTGCGACACTGTGCTCTACAGTATGCACGGGCTGCTAATTCTTGGTTGGGGTGAGCGGGTTGGGCTTGGAATCTGGGATGGATGGAGGCATGCGCTGCTGTCACGAAACAAACAACCTCCTTCGATCGAACGTGGTCGTTGCTATAAGTAAAGCATGTGACGTGCGATTTTAGGAGCTGCAGAAACACGTCTTACGCCGTCTCCTGCTGTACCGCTCCCACTCATACGTATAAATCTTACATGTTGTTTACCTTGAAGTAATCATGGTCGCAGCAAGGATATAAGGGGCGGAGCATCATCCCGCAAGCACCGTCCAAACGAACGAGTAACGTTAAATCTCTTATCACGATGAGCGCGACTCAAGGCGTTCGAGAACGGTAACCGGGTGTGGCCTCTCGCACAACACGGGCCGTGGCGACAGCGGCAACACCCTGATGGTGCAACGGTTACCGACGCACAGGATAAGGCTCGGCGGATGGGTCGTAACGAGACCAGTTGTCGCGGCACGGGTGACTGCGCGATTGCTCTGGTTGGCGGTAATGATGCTGCTGCTAGGACTAGCCGTGGCGGTAGTGGTGGTGGCGGGGGTGGATGCAGCAGCGGACGCGGCGGCGGGTGCACACAAAGGTAATACTCGTTTCTCGCCCACTCGTTATGACCATTGGAAGGTCATGCAATGCGTTCACCGCCGCCTCGCTCGCTCAATCGTCGAATTTCTATCGCTTTGCATTGCACCCGCAGCTCGCGCCACTGATACCACTATGCACGCGGGGCCCACGGTCATCATGTCACGTCACTCACGCTCGCGCTGCCTATGTCACTGACAGCGCAGCACCATGATTTCATTCAGGCCGGTATCTTTCTCAACAGCAATCATCTTTCCCCCGAACTACTTCATTACACCATGCCTCAGCATGCCCCACCAACCATCGCTCTCTCTCTCTCCCGCCCTCCCGCCCGCCTCCCCACATCTATCCTCATCTTCACACGCTTACCTCACTCAAACCCCTTTCTCACGCCCCTTCCGCACACCCCTTCCCTTCTTCGCTCCGCCCTGCGCCCTGCAGCGCCCTCCAATCGTCCCCGCGCGCGCGCATCATCATCCGCGGGCCTCCCTGCGGCACCCGCGCGCGCAGCAGCAGCGCCCTTGCCGCGCGCGCTCTACATCGTCCAGCTCCGCTCCGCGCCCCCCGTTGCCGCCTATCACGGCGGCATTCCCGGATTCCCCGCCACTGCTGTCCTCCAACCCACTGAAACTAACACCCAATCATCCCCCTCTGCCTCCGCCTCCTCCGCGGCGTCAGCCGGCCCTATCCCTATATCAACCGCTTCGCACCGCGCTGCATTCCGGCGGCGCGCGCGCATCAATTCGCGCCTGCCCGCAGTGCGCGCGTTCCAGCGCATGCTGCGGCGCCAGCAGCGCCAAGTGGCCGCGGACGCGCGCGTGCGCTTAAAGAACGTCATCTACAGCTACACGCACGTGGCGAACGGGTTCGCGGCGAAGCTGACGGCGGGGGAGGCGCGGCGGATGCGGCGACACCCCGCCGTGGGCAGCGTGACGCGCAGCGGGCGCTTCCGCCTGCTCACGACTGCGTCGCCCGCGTTCCTGCAGCTGCCGCCGTCGCTGTGGGCGGCGGCGAGCGGGCAGAGCAGCGCCGGCGAGGACGTGGTGGTGGGCGTCGTGGACACCGGCATCTGGCCCGAACACAAGTCCTTCGCTGATGATGTATGTTCCTGCACGCACGCACCCTGCAGGGATTCTTTTTTAAGCCCTCACTCGCACACACCCTTGCCCTTCTCTTCCTCACCCTCCCCATCCACCCTTGTCTCCCTTACAATACCCCTCCTCCCACTTCCCCCCCTCCCAGGGCTTTCTCTCGCCTTCTCGCGACACGCTTCCCCCCCTCGTGTTTCCGCTGTATCATAGCACCCAGAGTAGCCCCGTTCCCCCTGACCTCAACCCAGGGCAACAGCAGCTTTTTGCTACTTGCCACCCGGCACCCATGCACGCCCTGCTGTCCCCGCCTAGACCCTTGCCCCTTCCTCTGCTACCTCTCTTCCCGCACCGCCACTCCCCCCCCTTCCTCCCAGGGCTCATACTCCTCCCCGGCCACGGCCCGCTGCATGGGTGGGCGAGTGCGAGGAGACGGACGGACGACTTTCCCTTGGCGGCGTGCAGTGCAGCAACAAGGTGGTAGGCGCGCCCTGCTGCACACGCACACCATGTCCCTACCCCCGTCCCTGCCTGTATCGCTTCCCGCCGCCTAAACGCGCCACCTCTCCCCCCGCTACCCCTCTCTCCCCACCTCTCCCCTCCGCCCCAGGGCTCGTACTCCGCGCCGCCCGCCACGTGGGTGGGTTCATGCGAAGTGACGGACGACTTTCCCGTGGAGGCGTGCAGCAACAAGGTGGTGGGCGCGCGGTGGTTCATCGCGGGCATGCAGACGCAGAGCAAGGGGCAGGTCGACATGTTCGGTGACTACCTGTCGCCCAGGGACGCCCAGGGCCACGGCACTTGGTGTGCGGGGTGCGTGGGGGAGGGGGGGGGGGTTGGGGGGGAGGGGGAGGGTGGAGGGGAGAGGGGGGAAGGGAGAGAGAGGGAAAAAAGGGAGGATATGCAGAGGGCCATGGCATGTGGTGGGGTGAGTGGGTGAGCGAGAGGAGAGGGCACGGGGCGCGAGTGTGTGGGTGGGTGGGTGGGTGGGTGGGTGGGTGGGTGCGCGTGTGGTTTGCCGGGAGAGAGCCGGGAGAGATGGAGGGAGGCGGGAAGAAGAGGGGGAAATGCGTGCGCTGTGCGGAGAGAGAGAGAGAGAGAGAGAGAGAGAGAGAGAGAGAGAGAGAGAGAGAGAGAGAGAGAGAGAGAGAGAGAGAGAGAGAGAGAGAGAGAGAGGAAACCCCTTAGCCCTCTGCCCTCTGCCTCATCCCTCTGCCCTCCGCCCTCCAGAGCTATTTAAGGGCTGTTCCTCTCTCCTTCTCCTCATTATTTCGTGTGGAGTTCATTTCCGGCGGGAGAGAGCGAGAGAGAGAGAGAGGAAACCCCTTAGCCCTCTGCCCTCTGCCTCATCCCTCTGCCCTCCGCCCTCCAGAGCTATTTAAGGGCTGTTCCTCTCTCCTTCTCCTCATTATTTCGTGTGGAGTTCATTTCGAGCCGCCACAGAGACTAGAGTTGACTCTGCGACAGCCAATGAGAATTCAGCAGCCCCAATTCCGACCCCCCCAATGCTCAAACCCGACGACCTGGCGAAAAATACTGACCTGTTCGCCCAGGTTGCTGACTGGGACATTGGCCCGCTGCGCGACAGTCGCCAACCCCCAGTCGCCCGCCACCCTCCAAAAGACCTTCGCGAGTCTTTCGCGATTTGCCTGCTGACACCGTTACTCCACCTGGCAGCCAACTCCGAGTCAGAACCTGGCTGGATGTTACTCACCTTCCTCCCTCGCTTACTTCTTCGCTCCTCGTCAGCTCGTAAGCCTGACTGGAGCGCAATGATGAACAGGCTCCTGCGATCTCGCAAAGGGCTCTGGGCCGGCCTCTATGAAGAAGCTGCCGAATCGATCTCCCTCCCCCCGCAGCCTCGCCGCGCACCTGACACAACTCGAATTCTCGCCAGAGCGGAGGGCCTGGCGAAGCGTGGTAACCTCTTAAAATCATTGCAATCCCTGCAAGCCACGCCCGTGTCGCCTGCCTCACCTGAAGTTCTCGAGGCCCTCAGGACGAGACACCCACCTGCATCCCAACCGCTACTTGATTGGCTACACGCTACCACAGCGGAAAACCCTCCCGCTATCGAAGCCCGCGACTTCAGAAGGATCATCGCCAAGCTCCCCAATGGAGTGGGGGCGGGCCCCTCAGGAACTACCTTCGAACATCTCCGTGATGCAGTACTAGGAAACGCCGAAGTCTTCACCCACCTCCTAGCCCTCACCAACACGGCTCTGGTGGGGAAGCTACCAGCCGTTGCGGGAGAGCTACTTACCGCCTCTCGTCTTTTGGCCTTCACGAAACCGCACGGTGGGACGAGGCCGATCGCGGTCGGGGAATGCCTGCTTCGGATCATCGCCATAGCCGCTCTTCTCCTGATCGCGCCCGCCGCTAGATCTCACTTCGTCCCCCTTCAGTTCGGCGTGGCGGTAGCGGGGGGGCATTGAGGCCGCTATACACACGGCACGTACTTACCTGGAGGTCCATCCCGCGGCAGTAGCGCTACAGATTGACCTCGCGAACGCGTTCAACGCGGTCGAGAGGAGAGCGGTGTTCGAGGGGTTGAGGAACGAAGCGCTCGAGAGCCTCACCCCCCTGGTCCGCCTGTCTTACGGAGTCCCCTCCTCGCTCTTCCTCGACCATGAGTTCGCAGCGGCTCCACTGCAAAGTGCCAGGGGGGTCCGCCAAGGTGATCCCCTCGGCCCCCTTCTATTCGCCGCCAGCATCCACCCCTGCCTCGTTGCGACGGCAGCGGCTCACCCGCAGGTGGTCCTACTCGCCTACGCCGACGACATCACGCTGCTCGGTGATGCGTCTGCCTGCGCCGCGGCCTTCGACCACCTCACAGCCGCGCTCGCCTCCATGGGGCTCCTTCACAACCCTGCTAAGTGCGCGGCTTGGTTAGCCGCCCCAATTGACCCTGCCTCCGTCCCCCCCGGCATCACCATCTCGACCGAAGGGCTGCAAATCCTCGGCAGCCCCGTCGGCACAACGCAGGGCTGCGCCGCGGCAGTCAGGGACAGACTAACGGCAGCAGCTGAACCGCTCCCGTTGCTAGCGCAAATGGACCCGCAGCTCTGCCTCCTCACACGTTGCGTCAGCCGCCGCGCCTCCTTCCTGGCAAGGACAACCCCGCTGGAGGTCCTGCCCACAGCAGAATGGTCGGCATGGGGGGAGCGGCTGCTCCACGCGTTCCTAGAGGCCGCGCACATTGTCGCGCCAAGGAGCAATGCGGAAAGGAGGCGTACTTGGCGGCAGGCAGCGCTCCCCGTAACATTGGGGGGTTTGGGCATTACGGACCCGGCCGTGGAAGGAAGTTACGCGTACCTCGCTTCGGTGGTCGGCGCGGCTCACCTCCTGCACTCGCTAGCCGACTCCCTACTCCCCGCCATAGCCGCACTGCTCCCCCTTATGGACTCCGCCCCGGACTCCGCAGCGGCCCTGCCCTCGCGCCTAGCTGCAGCTGAAGCGGACCTGCCCCCTGACGGCCTGGAGGCCCTTCAGGCTGGTAAGAGCGAGCCCAAGGGACTGAAGCTCCAGCAGTCCCTGGCCCTGGCGGTCCACACCCGCCGCTACCTCCGAGTGCTGAACACGGCGCGGCGTATGCGCCCAAACCCCCTCTCAGGGCATGCTCAGCGGATGCAGTCCCTGCTGGGCCCGGGAGCAGGGGACTGGCTGCTGGCAACCCCTCTCTCTTGTGCGCTGAGGCTGGGCCCCTCCCAACACTCTACTGCTTCCTCCTTCCGCCTAGGCCTCCCCCTCCCTGTCCCAAGGCGGTGCGACTGCCGATACCACACCACCTTCCCTGATGACCGCCTCCCGAATCACCTTATGCGCTGCGAGAAGGGGAAAGGGAGGACTGCCACACACCATGCTCTCAGGGATGAAATCGCAAGGATAGGGGCGGAAGCAGGCTTCACGGTTCACAAGGAGACCTATGCCTACTCTCTGGTTGAAAACCTTAAAGCGGATGTCTCCATCCGCCATCCCCTAACCGGAGAAGTGTGGCTTTGTGATGTGACCGTGACCTACCCGGTGTCCTACCAGGACGAGAACTGCAACCGCGCACCTAGTTGGGCGGCTAGGGCGGCAGCTGCTCGGAAGGAGGAGAAATATGCGGGACGGAACGCGTGGGTGGGGTTCCACGCCTTGGCCGTGGAGACCTACGGCTACCCGTCGCCGGGGGTGCTGGCTTACCTGCGGTAGTGCGCGGAGCTGGCGGCGAAGCTCCGCTACAACGCGGCCCCTACCTCTCGAGAGGCTGCCAAGCTGCTAACGGAGTACCGCCAGCGCTGGAGCGTGTGCCTCCAGAGGGCGCAGGCAAACGCCCTCCGCACCAAGACCAATGAGGCCCTGGAGGCGGACGAGCTCAGCCCGCAAGGGCCGTGGGCCCCCCTCAACGAGGGGCAGCTGCACCAGCTGATTGAGCCCCCGTCCGACCACTAGGGTCGGACAACGGGGGGGGGGGGGGGGGGAGGGGAGTAGGTGATGGTTGATAGGTCTGCTTGTTTGCCTAGTTTGCATGTGTCTACTTCAAACCTTTGTACCACCCTTCAGCTAATACACGGACCATTCAAGAGAGAGAGAGAGAGAGAGAGAGAGAGAGAGAGAGAGAGAGAGAGAGAGAGAGAGAGAGAGAGAGGGGTGCGCAGGGAGACGCGGACGAGGCCCGGCAGGCGCAGGCTGCGGTAGCGAGCTCTCCGCGGAACCCTCCAGCTCCGGATCCCGTCTCACGGAAGGGTCCATCACCCCCGATCTTACCGCAGCCGACGCCAGTGCGGCAACGAAGCGAAAACGAGACGGCCGCGGCGCCGCAGACAGGGCGCGAGGGAGCTGCTGTGGGACGAGCAACGCGGGGAATCCGCGTAGGACGCGGCAGCCGCCGCGGACGACGAGGCAACGAGAGAGGACGAAGAGGTGGTGGAGCACGAGGTTCGAACAGGCGCCGATCAGGTGCAAGCGGCTACGCGAGGAATGTGGAAAGGCTGATGCGAAACGGCGCGGAGGGCGACGTGGAACCACTTAGCGAGGAAGCAGAGGAGGAAGCGGAGAATGAGGAAAGTGAAGAGGGGGACCCTGCCTTTAACCCTGAAAGCGAGGGGATGTTAGAAGCAGAGGCCGAGGAGGACGAGGAAGAGTTGGAGCTGCTGCGGGAAGCGGAGCTCCCAAACCAGCAGGCCAGAGGTGAACCTGCAAACCGAACCTCAGTTCGGAATCGAACTGCGGGGGGAATTCAAGCAAGGAGGGGAAATCGAGCCGCTCCAGAAGAAAGAATTGACTCTGCAACAGCCAATGAAAATTCCGCAGCCCCGAGTCCAACCCCCCCGATGCTCAAACCTGACGACCTGGAGAAAAACTCTGAGCTATTCGCTCAGGTTGCAGTCTGGGACCTCGACCCGCTGCGTGACAGTCGCCAACCTCCTCTCGCTCGCCACCCCCCCAAAGACCTTCGCGACTCCTTCGCGATCTGTATGTTGACGCCGTTACTCCACTTGGCGGCCAATCCCGAGTCTGCGCCAGGATGGAACTACTGACCTTTCTCCCGCGCATACTCCTTCGCACCTCGTCAGCCCGTAAACCTGACTGGAGCGCGATGATGAATCGGCTCCTGCGATTTCGCTTAGGGCTTTTGGCGGACCTATACGAAGAAGCTATCCAGGCGATTTCCTTGCCTCCGCAGCCTCGCCACTCACTCGACACAACTGGAATACTGGCACGGGCGGAAGGTCTGGCAAAACGGGGTAACCTGTCAAAATCACTCCAATCCCTCCAGGCCACCCCTGTGTCACCTGCCTCACCTGAAGTGCTGGAAGCCCTCGCGACGAGACATCCACCTGCCAGGCAGCTTCTCCCTGACTGGCTCCACACCGCCTCGGCTGAAGACCCACCCACTATCGAAGCCCGCGACTTCAGGCGCCTCCTTGCCAAACTCCCCAACGGAGTCGGGGCCGGCCCCTCAGGAACCACTTTCGAGCATATCCGCGACGCAGCCCTAGGGAATGCCGAAGTACTCTCCCACCTCCTCGCCCTCTCCAACACAGCTCTAGCAGGGAAACTCCCAACAGCCGCGGGGGATCTTCTCACGGCCTCCCGCCTGCTAGCCTTTACGAAACCCCAAGGAGGGACGCGGCCAATAGCGGTGGGGGAGTGTCTCCTCCGGATTATAGCAAAGGCCGCCCTCTTCCTGACCGCGCCAGCCGCCCGTACTCACTTTGCCCCCCTTCAATTCGGCGTGGCAGTAGCAGGGGGGATCGAAGCGGCTATCCACACCGCTCGCACGTACCTGGAAGTGCACCCTGCTGCAGTGGCCTTGCAGATCGACCTCGCGAACGCTTTTAACGCGGTCGAAAGGAGAGCGGTGTTCGAAGGACTGAGAAACGAGGCGCTGAAGAAGCTGATCCCCCTCGTCCGCCTATCCTACGGGGCTCCCTCCTCGCTCTACCTCGACCACGACTTCGGCGCAGCCCCGCTGCAGAGCGCCAGAGGAGTTCGCCAAGGGGACCTGCTCGGCCCCCTCCTGTTCGCGGCAAGCATCCACCCGTGCCTCATTGCCACGGCGGCGGCACACCCTCAGGTGGTCCTGCTGGCGTACGCCGATGACATCACGCTGCTCGGCGACGCCTCGGCCTGCACAGCAGCTTTCGACCACCTCACATCCGCACTTGCCGCCCTCGGCCTGGTACACAACCCGGCCAAATGCGCGGCGTGGTCCGCCGCTCCAATCGACCCCTCTGCAGTGCCCCCGGGAATTACTATCTCTGATGAGGGACTGCAGATTCTCGGCAGCCCGGTTGGCACACCCCGGGGGTGCGCGGGCGCCGTGAGAGAGAGACTGGCAGTAGCAGCATCCCCACTCCCCCTGCTGGCCCAGATGGACCCCCAGCTTAGCCTCCTCCTCCTCACCCGCTGTGTCAGCCGCCGAGCCTCTTTTCTGGCCAGATTCACCCCCCTGGAAGCTCTCCCTGAAGCGGAATGGTCAGCTTGGGGGGAGCAGCTCCTACACACCTTCCTGGACTCGGCCCACATCATGAGACCGAGGAGTGCCCGGGAGAGGCGGAGGATTTGGCGGCAGGCGGCCCTGCCCGTGACTCTGGGAGGCCTGGGCATCACTGACCCCGCCGTTGAAGGCAGATACGCTTACCTCGCTTCAGTGATCAGCGCCGCCCACCTTCTATACTCCCTGGAGGAGTCGTTACACCCTGCTGTCGCCGCGCTCCTCCCCCTACTGGACCCTACCCACGGCTCCCCGCACGCGCTGCCTGCACGCCTCGCCGCGGCTGAGGCAGCTCTCCCACCTGAGGCTCTCGAGGTGCTCCAGGCCGGGAAGACAGACCCCAAGGGACTGAAGCTGCAGCAGAGCCTAGCGCTGGCGGTTCACTCCCGCCGCTTCTTGAGGGCCATGCGCGAGGCAAGGCGGATGCGCCCCAACCCCCTTTCAGGCCATGCGCAACGGATGCAGTCGGTGCTAGGCCCAGGAGCGGGGGATTGGCTGCTGGCGATCCCGCTCATCCCCTCGCTCCGAATGGGCCCCTCCCAGCTCTCAACTGCAGCTGCCTTCCGCCTAGGCCTCCCCCTCCCAGTGCCTAGACGCTGTGACTGCCGCTACCGCACCACCTTCCCCGACGACTGCCTCCCCAACCACCTCATGCGCTGCGAGAAGGGGAAAGGGAGGACCGCTACCCATTACGCTCTGCGGGATGAGATAGCAAATATCGGGGCTGAGGCGGGTTTTACGGTTCATAAGGAGACGTATGTCTACTCACTGGTTGAAAACCTAAAGGCGGATGTCACCATCCGTCATCCACTGACCGGGGAGGTTTGGATGTGCGACGTGACCGTGACGGACCCGATGTCATACCAGGACGAGAACTGCAACCGAGCTCTTGGTTGGGCAGCTAGGGCGGCAGCGGCAAAAAAGGAGAAGTACGCACGGCGGAACACGTGGGTGGGGTTCCACGCGCTCGCAGTGGAAACATACGGCTACCCCTCGCCGGGGGTGCTGGCTTACCTGCGGCAATGCGCGGAGCTGGCGTCAAAGCTGCGGTTTAACGCAGCCCCTACCTCCTACGAAGCAGCGAAGCTTCTGACGGAGTACCGCCAGCGTTGGAGCGTGTGCCTCCAGCGGGCACAGGCCAACGCCCTCCGCACCAAGACCAATGAGGCCTTGGCGGCGGACGAGCTCGGTTTTAGAGGACCCATCATCCCTCTCACTGAGGGACAGCTGCACCAGTTGATTGAGGCCCCGTTCGACCACTAGGGTCGGACAGGGGGGGGGGCAGAGTAGGTAGGGGACTTGGAATAGTTAGGATGCCGGTTTTCTGTTGAGCTTGTGCTTGTGTGTTTTGCACCTTCCGTTGTACCACCCCCCAAAGAAATGCAAGGACCATTCGAGAGAGAGAGTGAGAGAGAGAGAGAGAGAGAGAGAGAGAGAGAGAGAGAGGAGAGAGAGAGAGAGAGAGAGAGAGAGAGAGAGAGAGAGAGAGAGAGAGAGAGAGAGAGAGAGAGAGAGAGAGAGAGAGAGAGAGAGAGAGAAGAGAGAGAGAGAGAGAGAGAGAGAGAGAGAGAGAGAGAGAGAGAGAGAGAGAGAGAGAGAGAGAGAGAGAGGAGAGAGGAGAGAGAGGAGAGAGAGAGAGAGAGAGAGAGAGAGAGAGAGAGAGAGATAGAGAGAGAGAGAGAGAGAGAGAGAGAGAGAGAGAGAGAGAGAGAGAGAGAGAGAGAGAGAGAGAGAGAGAGAGAGAGAGAGAGAGAGAGAGAGAGAGAGAGAGAGAGAGAGAGAGAGAGAGAGAGAGAGGAGAGAGAGAGATAGAGAGAGAGAGAGAGAGAGAGAGGAGAGAGAGAGAGAGAGAGAGAGAAGAGAGAGAGAGAGAGAGAGAGAGAGAGAGAGAGAGAGAGAGAGAGAGAGAGAGAGAGAGAGAGAGAGAGAGAGAGAGAGAGAGAGAGAGAGAGAGAGAGAGAGAGAGAGAGAGAGAGAGAGAGAGAGAGAGAGAGAGAGAGAGAGAGAGAGAGAGAGGAGAGAGAGAGAAGAGAGAGAGAGAGAGAGAGAGGAGAGAGAGAGAGAGAGAGAGAGAGAGAGAGAGAGAGAGAGAGAGAGAGAGAGAGAGAGAGGAGAGAGAGAGAGGAGAGAGAGAGAGAGAGAGAGAGAGAGAGGAGAGAGAGAGAGAGAGAGAGGAGAGAGAGAGAGAGAGAGAGAGAGAGAGAGGAGAGAGAGAGAGAGAGAGAGAGAGAGAGAGAGAGAGAGAGAGAGAGAGAGAGAGAGAGAGAGAGAGAGAGAGAGAGAGAGAGAGAGAGAGAGAGAGGGAGAGAGAGAGAGAGAGAGAGGAGAGAGAGAGAGAGAGAGAGAGGAGAGAGAGAGAGAGAGAGAGAGAGAGAGAGAGAGAGAGAGAGAGAGAGAGAGAGGAGAGAGAGAGAGAGAGGAGAGAGAGAGAGAGAGAGAGGAGGAGAGAGAGAGGAGAGAGGAGAGAGAGAGGAGAGAGAGAAGAGAGAGAGAGAGAGAGAGAGAGAGAGAGAGAGAGAGAGAGAGAGAGAGAGAGAGTCTAAAGAGTGATGGTGAACGAAAGCGTGGGAGCCAAGGAGCATGTTGTGTGAGACAAAGGGGGAGAGGGAAGGAGGCTGGGTTGGGTTGGGTTGTCGCAGGGGAAAGGGGTTTGTACCATACGGAGGACGTGGTGTGGTGGAAGAAGAACAAGGATGGAGGGGGGGAGGGGAAAAGATAGCATGTGTGGTGGTGGGGAGAGAAGGATGGGATTCGCCAGTCCGTCCACACCCACTGCATCTACACGCCCCCTACTGCACCCATTGTCTCCCCTTTCCCCTCCACCGCAGCCTCCCTATTCTCTCCCCTTCTCCCCCCTCTCCCTCCCATCCTTGCCCCACACCCTCCAATCATCTCCACAAGCCTTTCCATTACGCAGGGAGTCTTGTTTTTCCCACACCGTCACCTTCTTGACACCCCGCCTCACCCTCTTCTCGTCCCGCCCTCCTGGTCCAACTCCCAGTGGCGGTGCTGGGTGGGTGGGTGGGTGGGTGGTGACGCCTCTTTTTTCTACCGCTGCGGGCCCACCCACCAGGCAGGCACTGTGGGTGTCCTTGCCGTGCTGTGTGTGTACGCGTATAGCAGCAGAAGCAGGCAGGCAGGCAGGCAGGCAGGCAGGCACGTGTTGCGGGGCAGCAAGGCTGCGTGACCATGAGCGCGCAGCTGAACGCGCAATGGCGTCCCATGCACTTACTCTGCCACAGAGATTTTTTTAGAACTCTCAAAAAATCCCTCCACTTCCCCCCCAACCCCTCCCACACACACATACTCCTCCCCTCTCCTTCCCACCCCACCCCCCCCCCCCCCCACCCCTTCCCCTCCCCTTTCCCCATTCCCAACTTCCCCCCTCCACACCCCTCCGCGCGCCTCCCCTTCCCCTCCCCCGACCCCCTCCTCCCATCCCCTGTCCTTCCTTATCCTTCACAGGGCAGCAGCAGGAGCCGCGGGGGTGCCGCTAGGCGACACAGGGGAAACAGCAAGCGGCATGGCGCCGCGCGCGCGCATTGCCGCCTACAAGGTGTTTTGGCGCAGTAGGGGACAGGTGTGGGCGACGGAGGCGGACATAGCAGCGGCGGTGAATGCGGCTGTGGCGGACGGCGTGGACGTGCTGAGCCTGTCGCTGGGCAGCCTTGCGGCCTCCAGGACATACTTCCACGATGCTGTGTTCCTCAATGCTCTTGCGGTCAGTGGGGAAATGGTGGGGAGAGCGGCTACTGCTGGGGCTGGTTGGGATGGGGGGGGGGGGGGGGGGGGGGAGAGAGTGGACGTGCTGCTGAGCCTGTCGCTGGGCAGCCTTGCGGCATCCAGAGCGTGCTTCCACGATGCTGTGCTTCTCAATGCGCTCGCGGTGGGTTGTTTAGGGTGGGAGTGGGGCGGATACGGGGTTGCAATGGGGTTGGGATAGGAAGGGGCGAAGGGGTGGGGTAGGGATGAGGCGGGGATGGAGCGGGGATGGGGCGGGGATGGGGCGGGGATGGGGCGGGGATGGGGCGGGGACGGCAGGAGGAGGAGGGTGATGGTGGTGGACAGCGTTGAGGCATCGATCAGGTACTTCCACGATGCTGCCTTCCACAATGCTGCCTTCCACAATGCTGCCTTCCACAATGCGCTTGCGCTGAGTCTTCGGGAAAGGACGAGTTGTGATGGGGTGGGATTGGGGCAGGGACGGGACAGGGACGAGGCAAGGGCAGGGGCAGGGGCAGGGGCAGGGGCAGGGGCAGGGGCAGGGGCAGGGGCAGGGGCAGGGGCAGGGCGCAGGGCGCAGAGCGCAGAGCGCAGAGCTGGATGAATGAGGAGGGGGTGATGGCTCAGCCTGTAGCTGCTGAGCAGGCTTGAGGCATGCAGAACGTTGCACCAACCGCAAGCGCATTCCACCGCCCGCCTTGAGGCCCGATGCTGCTTTTCGGAATGCGCTTATGGTTGGTGGTGGGTGAAGGGGGGGTTGGGATAGGATAGGGTAGGACGGAGCGGGGATGGGGTAGGGATGGGGTGGGGATGGGGTGTGGCGCCTCCCTTCATCCTCCATACCACATCCCGCCCTCACTCCTTCATTCCCCCCTCCTCAATCCCTTCGTCGCACCTCCACCTACACCTCACCTCCGCCACCCTCCCATGTGCTTTGCTCTCCATGCAACCCCACCCCACATACCTCGTTCGTATCCACCCCCTGGCAGGCGGGTGTGGTGACAGTGTTTGCAGCGGGCAACAGCGGGGCCCCTCGAGGCAAGGCCTCGTCGTACCGCAAGCTCTGCAACTTCGCCCCGTGGTACCTCACCGTTGGAGCTAGGTATGCCACTCACTCACTCCCCTCCTCCTGCCTTACTTCCTTCCTTTTGGCCTTCTCTTCTTTCTCCCTCGCACGTCTCAATATCCCGCTCACACTCTCTGATACCTCCCTGTCGCCACACCTTTCTCCTGCTCTTGCTGCTTTTCTACTTGCACCCCCACCTCTTCGCTAATACCTACCACTCCTACCTCACATCCACATCCCCATCCCCACCCCCCACTAGCACCAGCACTCGCACTCGCACGAACACTAGCACCAGCACCAGCACTCTTACTAGCACTAGCACTAACACGCTCCACTCTTTTGAGTCGGCTTTGCTGTCACCCTCCCCCAGCACTTTCATGTGTACAAGAGCCAATCGCTGGTAGATTCTACTCATAGGCCTTGCCTCCTGCTTTTCGCTTATCCTGTTGGGAAGCAGTACTGCTGTTTAATCGAAGTGCCCTCTAAACAAACTGCGGGCTTCAGTACAAGTAGCACTGCCTCCCGTCCACACATGCTCAGCCTCCCTCGGATCACGAGTCACGGCTCTCGTTTCACTCCTCCCTATCTGTCCCATACTACTCCCACCCATCGCTCATACATCCTTCTTCCATCTTCCAACCGCCATCATTTCTCCCATCCCCTCCTTCGTTTCTTCCACACTCCCTTTTTCCTCTCCCCCTACACCTCCCTTGTTACCCTGCCGCCTTTCCCCTCTCTCTCTTCCTCTCCTCCACTCCTCTCTCCCCACTTGCGTGCACAAAGCAGCTCCATCAGTCAGTGTCAGCAATAGACGGCAGTGCTGCAGTGCTCTCCACATCAGATGCTCCCGCCACCACAGCCATGCAGTACCATGCTGCTGCTGCTACCTTTCTCCTTAACTCACTCCCCACTCCCCACTCCCCACTCCCCGCTCTCCACTCCCAACGCTTCCCTCTCCCCTTGCACCCCCGTGCACACTACAGCTCCATCAGCCGGGTGTCAGCCATAGATGGCAGTGCCACAGCATTCTCTGCATCCGATGCTACCGCTACCGCCACCGCCACCGCCATGCACTACCCCACTGCTGATGCTGCCACTGCTCACCCGCCCACACTTGCCACTCAAGCGTTTGCTGCTGCTGGTGCTGCTGTTGTGCACGCGGTTATTGCAGCGCATTCAAATGCCACCTCGAGCGTCAACAGCGGCGGTGTGCCGTCCCGGTAAGTGGCACAACCCGCTCTCCTATGCGTGCTCTCGACTCTTGCCTCTGCCTCTTCCGCTCTTGATGCTTGAGCTGTTGGCTGCTGTGTGTGGCTCTCGCATGTATGGCACTGTAGCAAGGGGCACTGCTGCACATGTGCACTGTAGCACAGGGGCACTGTAGCACATGGGCAATGTAGCACATGGGCAATGTAGCATTTGGGCACTGTAGCACATGGGCACTGTAGCACATGGGCAATGTAGCACATGGACACCGTAGCACATGGGCACTGTAGCACATGGGCACTGTAGCACATGGGCACTGTAGCACATGGGCAATGTAGCACATGGACACCGTAGCACATGGGCACTGTAGCACATGGGCACTGTAGCACATGGGCAATGTAGCACATGGACACCGTAGCATATGGGCACTGTAGCATATGGGCACTGTAGCACATGGGCACTGTAGCACATGGGCAATGTAGCACATGGGCACTGTAGCACATGGGCACACATGGGCACTGTAGCACATGGGCAATGTAGCTCGATCATCTAGTCGCTGCAAGGAACAGCAGGGCACCACAGCACTGTACCTCTCTTTGTTCTCCCCTCATGCACCCATGCACCTCGTGTGTGAGTGACACGGATGTGTGCTCTCGTGCTGATGTCTGCTATGCATTACCTTCAACCATGTAATTCCTGTATCCTTTCATCAATCTGGGAACCCTGTGAGGTACCACTCCCCATGCCACGTGCCACATGCCACATACCACATGGCCCATGCATTATGCCCCATGCCGCATGCCCACACGCCCCAAACCCCATGCCACAAGCCACACGCCCCCCACCCCATGCCACAAGCCTAACCCCCATCCCATCCCAACCCTCTCCCCCATCCCACCAGCACGCGCGTCACCCCGTTCGAACTCCCCGGATCGCCAGCAGAGGCGCCAGTCATCTCCCCCACCTCCTCCTGCGGCCCGCTCGTGCCCCCCACCGCCGCGCCCACAGCACCCAAGCCCACCAACGACATCCTCAAGCCCGACATCATCGCGCCGGGCGTGCAGCTCTGGGCCGCATTCCCCCCTCCGGATCACTCCATGGCCCCCTCCTCGGGCTACTTTGCGCTGCTCTCCGGGACCTCCATGGCCACGCCGCATGTGGCGGGCGTTGCAGCGCTCATCGTGCAACAGCGGCCTGACTGGTCCCCGGCGCAGGTTATGTCCGCTATTATGACCACCGCGGCGGTTACCAGTAACCGCGGCCTGGCGATAAGGAACGACTACGGGGGCGATGCGAGCCCGTGGGAGATGGGAGCAGGGCATGTGCGTCCTGAGAAGATTATGGACCCTGGCCTGACGTTTAACGCGAATGTGAGCGATTATGCTAATTTTCTGGCCGGGCAGAGTTATGCTCGGGCCAAGAGGCAGTTTCAGGGCACGGTTTTGCGGAAGATTCGCGCGTGCGATCTCAACCGTCCGGTGATTTCCGTGTCGCGGCTGAGGAGGAGTGTGACGGTGAAACGGACGGTTACGAATGTGGCTGATTATGGGTCGATGTATTTTGTGAGTGTCGTAGAACCGAGGAGAGTGCGCGTGAATGTTTCGCCAGATGCGTTCACGATAGAGCCAGGTGAGAGTGTTACTATAACAGTGAGGTTTACTGTACTGAGTGCGAGCACATACTTCTCATTCGGTAGCTTGACATTAACTGATGGTTGGGGGCATGCTGTTAGGATTGTGTTGGCTGTTCAACCATTGAAAAAGCGGTGATTTTGCGGCTTCTTGTTCGACCAGAAAAGTACAATGCTTGGTTCAGCTGACACAACAGATCATAATATTGGATGAAGGTAGTGAATATGCTTTTGCCATACCATACGAAGTGTGCGCGTTTTTGTTAGCGTGTCTTCACGTGTTGTAAGCTGCGACGCAACCCTCACTACCGCGTTTATTTACTGTTGGCGCTTTGACTGACACTGATCAGCAAAGCCCGCGAAATTGTTGCTACAAGAGTTGGGATGCGCGATGCGGTGCGCGAAAGCCTGTAGGAGTTGGGGAGGAGCACGGTGACTAATTTGGCCAGGTCCGGGTTTGCCGGCTAGCGCTAGCCAGAGCTTGCAGCGAAGCTTCGTGCGGACGACGGCGTTTGTGATTTGCGGGTGAATCGTCCGCTGCTGCGACCGTGGAACGCATCGCGTCACGTGACCTCGAAACTACACCGCGTGAACGGTGGCCGATCTTGGCTGCATCGACGACGACGAGAGGGAGCGAGATAGAGAGCGAGAGTCGAGACCGACGACGGTAGCTGACGGAGGTGGACAAATCCACGGATTGACAGATGCTAACAGACGCTGACGTAGACTGACGGAGGCTGACGGAGCTTGACGGAGGTTGACGGACGCAAACGGGCGTCAGGCGGCGAAAATGCGTGTGAAGACGGTGCAGGTGCTGTGGCACGGGCGCGAGCCCGTGCTCTCCGCGGACTTCCACCCGTCGGGCGTGCTCGCAACTGGCGGCGCGGATAAGGAGATTAAGGTGCGGCGCGAGATAGGTTGACGAGGCTCGCGGTGAGGGGGAAGGCGTGGAGAAGGGGAAGATGGGTGGGAGAGGAGGTATGGGGGAGAGAAATTGGCGGATATGAGAGGACTGGTGAAAATGAAGGTAGGAGGGGAATTGGCATGTGAGGCGCAAACAAGGCGAAGAGGGCCAGGCGTGTGTCGTGCTGGCGGGGCGCGCGCGCTGCTGATGCCATACGCTGGCAGGGCGCAAGTGTTGCCCGCTGGCTAGGCGCACGTGTCAAACTATATACTTGCACATAGTTTGGTAGGCTATGTTGTCGTGTTTGCTTGGGTTGCTCACTTACTTAGAATCAAGGGTGCGAGGGCAAGGGACTGTGTGTGCGTGCGTGCGCGTGAATGAGGGTCGGTGGTTGGGGAGTGCAGGCAGGAGGGAGGAACGAGAGAGAGAGAGCGCGCGCGAAGGATGCTCACTTCCAAGCACCATACACATGACAACCAGCCCTACCCTACCCTACCCCCTCCCATTTCCTCCCCTCCCCTCCCCTCTGCTCCGCTCCCCTCACCTCTCCTCCCCTTCCCTTGCCTTCCGTCCCTGTCCGGATCTGCACCCCCCGGTCTCTCTCCCCCCCTGCAGTTGTGGAGAGTGGCATGGGATGCAGCAGGGGAGCCGACAGTGGAGTTCGTGGCTGCACTAGCGCACCACAACTACGCTGTCAACGCCCTGCGCTTCTCGCCCTCTGGTGCACGCATGCCCTCACCCGCATGCCCTCACCCGCATGCCCTCACCCGCATGCCCTCACCCGCATGCCCTCACCCGCATGCCCTCACCCGCATGCCCTCACCCGCATGCCCTCACCCCATCGGGCGCAAGCTGCGTACTGTCTCTGCCATGGTGCATATGTGCCACTGTTGGTGTGCGTGTCTGTCCGTCCGCCCGCCCGTCTGCCTAGCTGGCCTGTGCATGTGCATGTGCATGTGCATGTGTGAAACGTGTGTCTGTGGATGTGCGCATGTGCTTCTCTGTGTTCACCATGGGCATGTACCCTCATTGCGCTGCAAGGCTGCGCGTTTCTCACTATGTCCTTGTCTCTGTCTCTCGCTCTCTATCCCGCACCAATCTCTCAGGGGACGTCCTCGCCTCAGGAGCAGATGGTAAGCTTCTTCACCCGCCCACACATCCCCTCACCCATCCGCATCCCTTCACCCATTCACATCCCCTCACCCATTCACATCCCCTCACCCATTCACATCCCTTCACCCATTCACATCCCTTCACCCATTCACATCCCGCCGCCCACTCACATCCTTCCCATCCTCTTCCATACATCGTTTCTTCCCAACACTGCTGCTCCTCTGCTCATCACCTCACATTGCTCGGAAGTGCTTGTTCCCGGCCACCGCATTCCCTTCCTGCCATGCTGTCACTCATGCTGCTGTTTGTGCGTGTCTGTGTGTGTGCATGTGTGCATGTGTGCATGTGAGCATGTGTGTATGTGTGCATGTGAGCATGTGTGTATGTGTGCATGTGTGCATGTGTGCATGTGAGCATGTGTGTATGTGTGCATGTGTGCATGTGTGCATGTGAGCATGTGTGTATGTGTGCATGTGTGCATGTGTGCATATGTGCATGTGTGCATGTGTGCGTGTGTGTGCGTGCATGTGTGCATGTGTGCATGTGTGCATGTGTACGTGTGTGCATGTGTGCGTGCATGCGTGCATGTGTGCATGTGTGCATATGTGCATGTGTGCATGTGTGCGTGTGTGTGCGTGCATGTGTGCATGTGTGCATGTGTGCATGTGTACGTGTGTGCATGTGTGCGTGCATGCGTGCATGTGTGCATGTGTGCATGTGTGCGTGCATGCGTGCATGTATCCGTGCATGCGTGCATGTGTGGGTGCATGTGTGCATGTGCATGTGTGTATGTGTGCATGTGTGCATGTGTGCATGTGTGCATGTGTGCATGTGTGCATGTGTGCATGTGTGCATGTGTACGTGTGTGCATGTGTGCATGCATGCATGCATGTGTGGGTGCGTGTGTGCATGTGTGCATGTGTGCATATGTGCATTTGTGCATTTGTGCATGTGTGCATGTGTGCATGTGTGCGTGCATGTGTGCGTGCATGCGTGCATGCATCCGTGCATGCGTGCATGTGTGGGTGCATGTGTGTATGTGCATGTGTGGGTGCATGTTTGCATGTGCATGTGTGTATGTGTGCATGTGTGCATGTGTGCATGTGTGCATGTGTGCATGTGCTTGTGTGCATGTGCATGTGTGTGTCCATGCGTGCATGTGTGCATGTGTGCATGTGTGCATGTGCTTGTGTGCATGTGCATGTGTGTGTCCATGCGTGCATGTGTGCATGTGTGCATGTGCGTGTGCGTGGCGCCATCAGGAGGGGAGATAGTGCTATGGAGGCAGGTACAGACGCCCAATGGGGCCATCTGGAAGGTCTTTCGAGCTCTCAGGTGATGCCCGGCATGCTCAATCTTGCACCCTTTCCTCTCTCTTGCACCCTTTCCTCTCACTTGCACCCTTTCCTCTCTCTTGTACCTAATATCTCTAGTACCCTGCCTTCTAGACAGTCTCACACTCCTCTCTGTCCCACACTCTCTCGCACACATAAACACTCGCTTTCTTGCGTTCCCTATCCCCCTCAAGTTTTCTGCGCTCCCTTCCACCATCCTCCTGCTCTATCCCTCCTCCATTTCCATCCCCATCCCCTTCCCAAGCTCAAACCCTGTTCCCCTCCCCAATGCTATCCGTCCCTATTCCTTCCGCTGCTCTATTCCTTGACGGCTTCTGATCGCAGCTCTCCTCGCAGCTCTCCTCTCCCCTCCTGCGTGTGCACCACAGTGCCATGAGAGGGACGTGTTGGACCTCTCGGCGTCTTTTGAGTCGACTCAAATTTTCCCTCCCCCTCCCTGCGCATGCACACACACACACACCCCTGCGCTGCCCGAGCAGTCGGCATGAGAGGGACGTGCTGGACCTCTCGTGGTCGCCCGATGGGCTGTCACTGGCATCAGGCTCAGTGGACAACTCGGCCATTGTCTGGAACCTCGCCCGAGGTCACTCTCCTCCTCCCTCCCCCTCCCTCCCTCCCTCCTCCCTCTCTCTCCTCCCTACTTTTCCCCTCCTGCGGCATCCTTCCTTCACACTCCTCCCTACTGCTCCCTCACTCCTCACGCCTCGCCTCACTCCTCACTCCTCCTCACTCCTCGCACTTCTCACTCCCCCTCATTCAAACCTTCTCACTCATGCATCCTGGTTCCTCGCTTTCCCTGAGCCTTCCCTTTAATCTCTCAACTTTCCAGCATCTCAATCAACCCCTCCACTCCACCCATCAATCTCTTAGCCTCTCAATGGCTCAAATCGTCCTTTCCCTCTTTCATCGTCTCAACCCCTTCATAACACATCCGCACATCCCCTCATCCCCTCATCCCCTCATCCCCTCATCCTCTCATTCATCCTCCCCTCCTCCTCTCGTGTGTCCATTGGCCAACAGGGGTGCCAGAGGCGTTTCTCAAGGACCATGTGCACTACGTGCAGGGCGTCGCCTGGGACCCTCTCTCCCGCTTCCTCGTCACCTGCAGCGGCGACCGCACCTGCCGCGTCTACTCCCTCCCCTCGCCCCCTCCCACCGCTGCTGCGGCTGCTGCTGCTGCTGCTGGTGGTGGTGGTGCTGGTGCTGGTGGGGTTGTTGGGGGTGCAGCCGCGGCTGGAGGGGGGGCGAAGGGAGGAGGAGGGGGCGGGAAGCAGCAGAAGGCAGCAGGTGTGGTGCGGTGTGTGCATGTGATTCAGAAACGAGATGTTCCCGCTGCTGCTGCTGCTGCTGTTGCAGGGGGGGAGGAAAGGGGTGCGGGGGAGGCAGGGGGGGGAGGAAGAGGAGGGGGAGGGGAAGGGGAAGGAGAGGGTGGGAAAGAGAGAGGAGCGGAAGCAGTGGGTGCAGCAGTGGAGGGGGAGAGGAAAGCGGGAGGAGGGGAGGGTGGCGCAGCAATGGAGGTGGAGAATGGGGCCAAGGCAGAAGGGCCGAGTAAGGTGGGCGAGGGCGTGTATTTTTGGGTGAGGGCGTGTATTTCTGAGTGAGGTGCAGGCTGCAGTGGTGAAGAAGACACAACAGTTAAGGAGAAGCTGACAGCCTGGCATGCATGCAGTCATGGTCACAAAGAGACAAGTGTGTGTGTGTGTGCATTCGCGCGCACACGCATGTACATGCATGCCTGCACAAGCACAAGCACGAGCACGAGCACGAGCACGAGCATGCAGGAGCCACAGCCACGCCCACTAATTCCCATGTCCAACTCTGCCCTCCCTTGTCTCCCCCTGCGCCCCCCAGGCAGTGCGGGTACACCTGTTTCACGATGAGAACATGCCCTCCTTCTTCCGCCGCCTTGCCTGGTCCCCCGATGGCGCCATGCTCGTCATCCCTGCCGGTGCACCTCTCCTCGCCCCCCTCTTGCCTCTCCTCCCGCCCCTCTTGCCTCCTCGCCCCCCTCTTGCCTCTCCTCGCCCCCTCTTGCCTCTCCTCGCCCCCCTCTTTGCCTCTCTCGCCCCCCCTCCTTGCCTCTCCTCGCCCCCCTCTTGCCTCTCCTCGCCCCCCTCTTGCCTCTCCTCGCCCCCCTCTTGCCTCTCCTCGCCCCCCTCTTGCCTCTCCTCGCCCCCCTCTTGCCTCTCCTCGCCCCCCTCTTGCCTCTCCTCGCCCCCCCTCTTGCCTCTCCTCGCCCCCCTCTTGCCTCTCCTCGCCCCCCTCTTGCCTTCTCTCGCCCCCCTCTTGCCTCTCCTCGCCCCGCCTCTTGCCTCTCCTCGCCCCCCTCTTGCCTCTCCTCGCCCCCCTCTTGCCTCTCCTCGCCCCCCTCTTGCCTCTCCTCGCCCCCCTCTTGCCTCTCCTCGCCCCCCTCCTTGCCTCTCCTCGCCCCCCTCTTGCCTCTCCTCGCCCCCCTCTTGCCTCTCCTCGCCCCCCTTCTTGCCTCTCCTCGCCCCCCCTCTTGCCTCTCCTCGCCCCCCTCTTGCCTCTCCTCGCCCCCACCTCTTGCCTCTCCTCGCCCCCCCTCTTGCCTCTCCTCGCCCCCCTCTTGCCTCTCGCCCCCTCTTGCCTCTCCTCGCCCCCTCTTGCCTCTCCTCGCCCCCCTCTTTGCCTCTCCTCAGCCCCCCTCTTGGCCTCTCCTCCTCTGCTCGCCCCCTTCTTGCCTCTCCTCGCCCCCCTCTTGCCTCTCCTCGCCCCCACTCTTGCCTCTCCTCGCCCCCCTCTTGCCTCTCCTCGCCCCCCTCTTGCCTCTCCTCGCCCCTCCCTTGCCTCTCCTTAGTTCTCCTTGGTCAGTGGTCGTGTCGTGTGTATGTGTGTTTGTGGGTGAAAGCTTGTGGGTGCATGTGCATGTGTGTGAGCGAGAGAGTGTGTTTCAGGATTTGTATGTGACTGTCTTGTGTGTCTGCTTGTTTGTGTGTGTGTGTGCAATAGAAAACCCTCGTATGCCATGCCAATCCATGCCATCCCAGCTCATCTAATGTCACTTCATCGCATCTCCACACGTCCATCCATCCATCCATCCATCCATCCATCCATCCATCCATCCATCCATCCATCCATCCATCCATCCATCCATCCATCCATCCATCCATCCATCCATCCATCCATCCATCCATCCATCCATCCATCCATCCATCCATCCATCCATCCATCCATCCATCCATCCATCCATGCATCCATCCATCCATGCATCCATCTATCTATCCATCCATCCATCCATCCATCCATCCATCCATGCATCCATCCATCCATGCATCCATCCATCCATCCATCCATCCATCCATCCATCCATCCATCCATCCATCCATCCATCCATCCATCCATCCATCCATCCATCCATCCATGCATGCATGCATGCATGCAGGAGTATGGAAGGCCTCTCCATCGGCCCAGCCCACAAACACCTGCTACGTCTTTTCTCGATCAGACCTCACTAAGTAATGCTCGCTCCTCTCTACCTGCTCTCACCGGTGCCACTTGCATTTGGGCCAAAGAACCATGATTGCATGCCACATGAGCACATTCCCTCATCCCCTCATCCCCTCGTCTCCCCTCTTAATCCCTCTTCCCCGTACTTCCAAGCCCCCGTTCCCTTTTCTCGCCCTTTGCTCTTCTTCTCATTGCTTCCCCTCCCTTTCCATTCCCGCCCCTAGTTGACGTGCGATCCAATCGCCCTGCCCATTGCCGCTGCAATCCTCCCCTCCGTTCTTCTCCCCTCATACCGTTTCTCCCCGCGCCCCTCGTCTGCCTCCTCCCTCTGCTTTTACACTCATCACTTTTCCCCATTTCCTCCCCTTGGCCCATTCGTCACCGCCACGCCACAGATGCATCTGCTGCCCCTCATGTCCCCTCCCCCCGCTCCCCTCCCCCCGCTCCCCTCCCCCCGCTCCCCTTCCCCCGCTCCCCTCCCCCCGCTCTCCTCCCCCCGCTCCCCTCCCCCCGCTCCCCTCCCCCCGCTCCCCTCCTCCCGCTCCCCTCCTCCCGCTCCCCTCCCCTCCCTCCACCACGTTAACATCCCTCCCCTCCCATCGTCTTTTCCCACAACACACCTGGCTCATCACGCACGCGACCACTTTCATGGCCCCTCCCTCCCTCGTCCCACCTTCGCATAACCACCTCGTCTTCCCACCCCTTCCCTTGTCCGATACCAATACACACAAGCCCCACCATCTCTACTTGTAATGTGCTACCCTCTTTCCCCCCTTTCTCGTCCATCCTTCTAAAACCGCTCCTCTCATCTCTCCCCATGCACCCACCCCGTGCACCCACCCCGTGCACCCACCCCGTGCACCCACCCCGTGCACCCATCCCATCGCATGCACACAGGCCCATCATGCACCTGCCGTCACTCAACAAGCCGCTAGTGGCTGTGCGTTTCTGCCCCCTCTTCTTCCACCCCTCCTCGCCCACCCACTCGCCTGCACTCGCCCCGCCTGCACATGTCCCTGACGCCGCAACCCCCACTGCTGCTGGTGCTGCTGCTGCTGGTATTGGTGGGGATAAGGAGGATGCGCAACAAGGTAATGAGTTTGACTGGGTGGGGAGTGTGTGCTGACAATGTTTTGACTACAATCAAAGCCTCCAATTTGGTTCATGTGAACATATCTTTCTTCCCTATGTCTCGGTCTCTTCTTCTCTTCCTTCTCTCTCCCTACCTGCCCCCCTCTTTCTTCTCTGCTTTGCCTCATTACTTGATCTTGGAATGGAAGCATATACTTTTGCACTGCCTCTTCACTCTTTCCCTCCATCACCATTCCCCCCCACTCCATCCCTATCCCTCCACTCACTCTTCATCCCTATTCCTACTGCTCCCCCGTCCTCCCCACTCACACCAGACCAGCACCAGCAACAGCAGGCCACACCACCACCCCTCACATCCCTCCCCTCTACCCGTGTCTCTACCATATCGCATGGTGTATGCTGTGGCACTCACCAACTCTGTGTACCACTATGACATGCCATGTGTCTCTATCTCTTCTACCCCCTCTTCATTCTTTCCCACTCCCACTCCATCCCCATTCCCGCTGCTCACACCAGACCGGCACCAGCAACAACAGAACGCACCACCATCCCCTGCCGCCTCCTCCTCCGCACCGCTCTCCCCCATACCCGTGTCACTGCCATACCGCATGGTGTATGCTGTGGCATCCACCAACTCAGTGTGCCTCTACGACACGGCCACGCCCCGCCCCCTCGCGCTGCTTGGCGGCCTGCACTATGCTGCCATCACGGACCTTGCATGGTGAGCGCGCATGCACGGCACAGCACATGCATGCAGCGCACTATTCATGCGGTTGGGAGCAGAGAAGGGTTGGGTAGCATGGGGCTGAGTGGCCGGTCAGCCTGCACTATGCTGCCGTCACGGACGGACCTTGCATGGTGAGCGCGCATGCACGGCACAAGCAGCGCACATGCAGTTTTTCCAGTCCACTCACTAGCGCACAGCACATATGACAGACACTTGTGCAGCTCGTTACCACGCCACGCACCCTCGCCCTGCTCGGTGGCCTGCACTGACATTGCATGGTGAGCGGGCGAGAAAGCCAGGGAGAGAAGCGAGGTGAAGTGAAGGCGGTTGGAGTAAGAAGCAACGGGGCTCGCCCGCCTGCACTCGGCTGCCATCGCTGCCTGCCCTTGCATGGTGACCGCACATGCAGCGCGCGCACACGCAGTCTTTTGAGCGGAATCAGAAGCGCAGAAGCAGCAATTTATGTACTGCAGTTTGCACTCTGCACTGCGGTGCTCAAGGGAGAGAGGGCAGGGGCAGGGGGGGGTGGATAGCAGGGTGGGTTGGGCCGAACTGGCTTTAGCATTGTGCTGTGCTGTAGGCTTTTGAGTCAACTCTCAAAGGAACTCTAATGTCTCTTCAATGGCTGCGGAACTGTGCCCACTGTACAACTCACACCACCATCCTTGCACGGTGAGCGAGCATGCATGGTACATGTGTGTTGTGCTGCTGTGGCGGGGAAAGAGGGAGGAGGGGGGCTGGGGGGGGTATGTGTGGGGCCGGCCGTGCTGCACTTCACTTTGCTGCCAGCACTTTCTGCTGCCTCGCCAGCATGTCCCATGCTCCTTTCTCCCCTCTTCCATCCCCTTCCCTAAACCTCAAAGCCTCCCCTCTCCTCCCCTCCCCTCCCCTCCCCTCCCCTCCCCTCTCCTCCCCTCCCCTCCCCTCCCCTCTCCTCTCCTCCCCTCCCCTCCCCTCCCCTCCCCTCCCCTCCCCCTCCCCTCCCCTCCCCTCTCCTCCCCTCCCCTCCCATCCCCTCTCCTCCCCTCCCCTCCCCTCTCCTCCCCTCCCCTCCCCTCCCCTCTCCTCCCCTCCCCTCCCCTCCCCTCTCCTCCCCTCCCCTCCTCTCTCCTCCCCTCCCCTCCCCTCCCCTCCCCTCCCCTCCCCTCCCCTCCCCTCCCCTCCCCCTCCCCTCCCCTCCCTCCCCTCCCCTCCCCTCCCTCCCCATCCTCCTGTCTCCCCTCCCCTCCCCATCTCCTCCCGTCTGCCCTCCCCTCTGTCACGGCACGGTGACCACGGGGGCAGGGCACCGGACGGGAGGTGTTTGGTGGTGGCGTCACAGGACGGGTACTGCACCCTCGTCACCTTCACCACTACCGACCTCGGCACGCCCATGCTGCCCTCAGGTACTCACCCTTTCCTCCCCTTGCGCCTTCTCTTCTTGCGCCACCTCCCCTTGCGGTCAATCATCACGAGTGCTCGCTGCGGCACTCCTATTTTGTACCGCCTTCACGTTTGTTCATGTCCTTGTCATCTCCAGATCTCTTTGCTCTTGTACCCTTGTACCCTTGTCCGCGCTCATCTCTCTATTCGTGTGTTGTACGCCACTCGCATGCCCCATATCGCCCACCACCCATCACTCCCACGGCCCCTGTGAGCAGACCTACCACCCCATGTGCGGGACTCCCTGCATCCTCTACATCCCCTCAAGCACCTGCCTGCACCGCCTCTCCCCTCACCTGCTGCCTCTGACGTTCCCCGACCAACAGCCGCTGCCACTGCTGCTGTTGCCCCAGCCACTGCTGCTGTTGGCCCTGCAACCGCTGCTGCTGCACCTGCCACACCTACCATTGTTGCCCCTGCTACTGTTGCTCTCGCCGCCCCTGCTGCCCCTGCTAATCCTACGGACGCTGCTGCTGTTGCCCCTCCCACTGTTGGGGTTGTCCCTGTAAATCCATCTGTAGATCCTGCCACGGCTGCTGTTTCTCCTGCCCCTGCTACCGTTCATCCTGCCCCTGCTTCTGCTCCTCCTCCTACTTCCACTACTGCTGCTGCGGATGATGCTCCTCCTGCTGCAGCTGTTCCTTCTTCTCCTCCTTCCACTGCCGCTGTTTCATCCCCTGTTTCTACTGATCCTCCTATTCCTCTTGCTGAAACTGCACCATCCACTACATTTCTTGACTCCACGCCTTTCCCACCAGTCCCAATCCCAGTTCCAGATGCCACAGCACCTGCTTCCCCCTCTCTCGCTCCTGCTGCTGTTTCACCTGGTGATGCCAGTGCCGCCCCTCTTGCCACTGGATGCGCCACTGATTCTCATGTGACGGCTGCTGCTGCACCTGCTGCTGATGTGGGTGCTGTGGCTGCTGGTTTGGCTGGTGCTGACGCTTCTGTCAGTGTTGCTGATGCTGCTGCTGCTCCCTCTCCTCATCTGCACGCCAGCCATCCAATGCTGGATGGTGAAGCAACAGCAACAGCAGCAGCAGCAGCAGCACCAGCAGCAGCAGCAGCAGCAGCAGCAGCAGCAGCAGCAGCAGCAGCAGCAGCAGCAGCAGCAGCAGCAGCAGCAGCAGCAGCAGCAGCAGCAGCAGCACCAGCAGCAGCAGCAGCAGCAGCAGCAGCAGCACCTGCAAGCATTCCACACACTCCTGCTGCATGCGTGAATGCTTGTGAGGGGCTCCAAGATGCTGCTGTAGGCAAGGGCGATGCTGCTGTTGGCAAGGGCGATGCTGCTGTTGCGGGTGAGAATGCAGCTGCTGCAGCGGAGAACAGTGCAGCTGCTCCAGGGGTGGGTGATGCTGGTGTGGCAAGAGAGGGTGGTGCGTGTGCATGCGCACCAGACTTGGCAGGCTCTGAGGCTAACGCACGCAGCTCAGAAGTTAATAATAAGCAGAGCGCTCACACTGAGCCTGCTGACATGGAAGCTGGCAGGCAGGCAGGAAAGAACGGAGGTGTGGCACTGGTGGGGACAGCTGGTGCAGCACAAGTAGGGGCGGGGGAGCTACTACAGCAGCAGCAGCAGCAACAGCAGCAACAGCAGCAAGTGGAAGAGAGCAAGGAGGAGGCAGCAGAGAGAGGTGGGTCACAGCAGCAGGGTGTGAAGAGGCCACGAGAGGAAGACACTGGAGAGGAAACAAGGAAGGCTGTGAAAGCGCAGGTGGATGACGGTTGAGGAATGGCATGGGGTGGGATGGGATGGGATGCGATGCGATGGGATGGGATGGGATGGGATGGTACAGGATGCAATGGGATCATGGAAATATGGGATAGGAGGGGCCAGGAAGTAGCATGGCAGGCCTGAGTGGGGGGATCATTGAGGTTTCTGTGCTTCTGTTTCCAGGAGCAGAATATAGATTACAAAAATAATATTCTCCAACCTACAACGCGGCTGCTTTGTGTTCTTACTCCCTATATGCTTCTAGGTCCTACTGTAGTTATTCCTGTGCAATGAAGTCGTGAACATACTATGGCAACAGATCAGATCAGATCAGATGTTGCATTATGCATATCAGATGGCAGCACTCCCATCCCATCCTAGCAGGTTCTACTGCTACACTTTTCCTAACAGGCTGCTGCAAATGTGCTCAGCTTAGTATAATGGTGCACGATATCACAGCTGTTGAAAACACAAAACTTATTACGACAAATCAACTTGTCATATCAATATAGCAGAAACACTTCAGACAGCAGTCACAGAGCCTGTGACTATCTGGCACCAATCAGCAGCTACGCAACAAATCAGGAACCCACCATGCCTCATTCCTCGGCTCGACAATCACGCCCACCCAAACCCAACCTCCAACCAACATCTGAACGGGACCATATTGCCAACCTTGCACCGCACCATTTCTGTTTCGCCACCAGTGACTGAACACTCCTCTCCCCTTCAATCCCCTTCCAACCCCTTTTCTGTGTCACCCCACTCCGCCTTCAGCCAGTCCCTCCACCACAGCACTTATCTCTTTATTGGCTGCACAACCAGTGGTGACCTGACAGAGTGACCCAGCCCGTCACTCCATGTGAGGCTTCCATATGAATAAGTTAACGATGAACGCAGAGCTGTCAGCGTAACATTGTAACTCACTGTTTTACCCGGCTCTATAGTGAAACTTGGTGGTTTTACTGTTACCGAGACCCCGTCCATACCCGCAACAACTGCTGTGTATGTCGACGCTGCATCAGCAACATTTGTAACACGCCGCTGGACGGTTACTGTACCAGCTAGCCGTCCAACAGCGATCGAAGGCCTATTGAGGTTATAAGCCTTGATGGACTGCAACGTGATTCCTTTGAACAATCTCTTCGCTCGGGTCAGAGCCTGTCCAGCAAGAAAGTTCCGGAAATCCGTCTCGTTGGCGTCATACGTCAGCCCAGGATCCAGAAGCTTCATGGGATTCACATGCCCCGCGCCCGTCTCCCAGGGTGTTGCGATGTCCCCGTTTGAGTTCCGTATCAGCGAGCCCTTGTTGTTCCGCACTGTAGCAGTCGTCATCATTGCGGAAATAATCTGGGCGGGAGTCCACTTGGGGTTTCGCTGCACGAGCAGCGCAGCAATCCCGGCGATGTGAGGAGTTGCCATAGAGGTTCCCGAAAGCCGTGCGTACCGACTTGTGGTGTCAGTCAAAGACGACCCAGCAGTAGCCGCCCAGAGGGACACGCCCGGCGCGATGATGTCGGGCTTGAGGATATCGTTGGTGGGCTTGGGTGAGTCAGGGTTGTACAGTGGAGCGACAAGAGGGCCCGTGGATGAGAAGCCCGCCACTATTGGTGCTTCGTTGGGCGATGTTGCTGTTTCGGTCGGTTTGACAGGCGATGATGTTGATGATGCTGGTGTCATGGTTGAGAATCGGCTGATCGTGCTGTTGTTGGGAGAAAAAACATTGGTAGTGGGAGAGCGAAGAAGCAAGCAGGCATACATAAACGCAAGACAGGGGAGGAGGCGGCCAGAGTGCAATCAGGCACACACAAGGTGAGAAAGGCGGTCAGATAGGCGAAGTGGACAAATGTGATCGTCATGCAGGTACTGTGAAGCTGGAAAGCAGCACAGGACGAGTGGGCTGGGCATACGAGGAAGCAGGGCAAGAAGCTGTTGAAGGTGGTTATAGAGAAGAGAGTGCGACAGACGGAAAACAGGGGGTGGAAGAGAGGAAACGGGACAATATATAGCAGCAGGGCATTTGAGAGCAGGCAGGGAATCCGCGAATGCAAGTGTGAGACGCACATACCTGGCGCCAACCGTGATGTACCACGGGGAAAAGTTATCCAGAGTACGGTAACCCATGCCCACTCGCCACGGGCTACCTGCGTTGCCCGCCGCAAAAGCCACCACTACACCCGCCTGCGCGGAGAGAGGGACGGAGAGATATGGAGACAGGGTGGTGAAAGAGGGAAGGAGGGAGAGAGACAGGGTAAGGGGGAGGCATCGGCGAGTGGGACTGAGTGGCGAAGTGGCAGAGGGCTATATGAACAGGAGAGCAAGGAACTGGTAGCAGAGGGCATGGTGCGGGCTGTGTGGCTCGATCGCATGGGCAGCTGGTAGCAAGACGCAGCGGCGCGAGCAGGAAAGTTGCACGCACGGACTAGGCTGATGAGAGAAGCCAGGCCAACGCCGTTACGCCATGCATAACAGTACCCTCACACTCGGCCGGTAGCCATCCAAGCAGCCGTCCCAGTAACCGTCCAACCAAGCGGCCGTCCAGGCAGCCGTGCAGGCAGCCGTCTCCGTGGCCCGTGCAGCAGCCATCCTAGTACGCGTGCAGGCAAGGCGGGCCGTGCGGCGCACGCACCGCATGGACGTTGATGAAGGTGGAGTCGTCAAAGTAGGTTGCGGAGCTGTCGGACCCGCCCAGCGACAGGCTCAGCACGTCCACGCCGTCCGCCACGGCGCGGTTGACGGCGGCAAAGATGTCCGCGTACGTGGCGTACATGTACCCGCCGCGCTGCTTCCAAAACACCTTGTACACTGCCAAGCGCGCGCGCGGCGCCATGCCGCTGATCGGGCCCAGCGTCTGCGTCTGCACGTTGCCGTTCCCCGTTGCCGCGCTGCGGGGGGTAGAGCGGGGGGGGAAAGAGAGGGGAGGAAGGGAGAGAGCAGAGGGTGAGAACGGGTACATGGAGGGTCAAGAGCGGGATGCTAATTGAGTCATCGAGCCTTACCCAATCCATGTCCCCGACCCACCCCCCCCCCCCGCTATCTGGCCTCACCCTCCCCCATCCCACTGTTCCCCGCGCATCCAGCTCAGCCTGCACCCCACAAACCAAGCGCCGCGGCCGTGCGCATCCCCTCGCGGACGACCCTCCACCCCATCTCCCCCGACCCCCGGTTTATCCCCTTACGCTTCCCCCGAAGCGCACGCACCCCGAGCACCACGTGCCGTGGCCGTCGGCGTCGCGCGGCGAGAGCCAGTCCTTGGTGAAGTCCATGCGGTCGCGCGAGTCGCGCTTGAAGCCCGAATAGAACACTTGCGCGCCCACGATCTTGCCGTTGCACGCGGACGCGGGGAAGTCCGTGCTCTTCCGACACGACCCCTGCCACCCCGCCGGCGCACTGTCGTAGAGGAAAGACGCGGAGGAAGACTGTTCGGGGAGGGAGGAAAAAGAAGGGAGGAAGGGGGGATGAGGAGGGGTGTTGGTGAGGAGATGTGGACGGAGATTGCGGGGGGAAGAAGCGAGAGCGTGAGGGAAAGCGGCGGGAACGGCGGGAGGGGAGGGGAGAAGGAGGAGGGTGGAAAGGATGCCTGCGCACGTCGTTAGCGAAGGACTTGTGTTCGGGCCAGATGCCGGTGTCCACGACGCCCACCACCACGTCCTCGCCCGCGCTGCTCTGCCCGCCCGCCGCCGCCCACAGCGACGGCGGCAGCTGCAGGAACGCGGGCGACGCGGTCGTGAGCAGGCGGAAGCGCCCGCTGCGCGTCACGCTGCCCACGGCGGGGTGTCGCCGCATCCGCCGCGCCTCCCCCGCCGTCAGCTCCGCCGCGAACCCGTTCGCCACGTGCGTGTAGCTGTCGAGAGATCGAGCGGTATCACGAATGAGAAGAGGGGAAGGTTAGAATTCGGCACGCGCGCAAGAACACTCGAGCGCGCACACGAGCGGGCAGGAATGCGGAAAGTGGGGAGGCGAGTCGGGGAGGCGAGTCGAAGAGGCGAGCGGGAGGCGAGTGGGAAGCCAAGTATGGAGCGCGCACAGCTTGCCGTGGTCAAACCTTCCCCGCGGTCACGCACCTGTACAAGAGGCGACTCGCGCCGATCCCCATATCCCGCGCCACTCGCCGCTGTTGCCGTTTCAGCATCTCCGCAAACGCGCGCACGTGCGGCATCTTCAGGTTCACCCGCGGCCGCCGCGAAAACAGGCGGCCGGCGGCATTCGCGATTTGGGATGCGGGGTTTCGAACGGCGGCGGTGCCGGGAAACCCGGGAAAGCCGCCATTATACACGGCAACGGCCGGCGCGGAACGCAATTGTACTACATAGAGGGAGGAATCTGCTGCAGGATTGGGGACTGGCAGCGGCCGGGGGAAGATAATGGAGCGGGACAGATCGGAAACGGAAGCAAGGGGAGGGGGAAGAAACGTCGGAGAACGGGAAACGGAAAGAGGGTGGAAAGGGATGCATCGTTAGAGCGTGAGAGATGGGTATGGACGGGTCTCGACCGAGTAAGGAAAGCCACTGGCAATACCTCGACGCACTCTCCCAGCCTTCTCCCACTTTGGTTTGGACAGGCTAGAATCGGTTCTGATCCGCCGCGGTAAAACGCCAGTTCGCTACTTCTACGTGCAATTCGCGTGCTTCTCAAAGAAAGATCGCCAGAGGTCGCAGATGGTGATAGTACCGCAGGGGTGCCACTACAATGCCGAGAAACTCAGGAGCGGACCGTTTCACACGGTGACAATGGGATACCTCGGAGGGAGACAGCGAGGGCGACTGAGGAGAGTAGGAGAGCCACTGTGGACAGCGACGCATGGCGCCATGGTGACAGAACCGCCATGGCTGCCATGATGCGCCAGGTGTGGAAGGAAAGACGGATTTGTGCTGACACGCCGCGGCATTCACGGTATGAAATGTGACGCGACTAGCCGAATAATGAATTGCGACTTGAAACTAGTGGTCGTATGGAAAAGGTGCGCATCAATGGTGGCTGGAAGGAAGTCGAGCTGCTGACGGAAGAATGACCAGGAAACCAGAAATGCGTGCTGCTGGGGAGGCTGGCGTTCTAGGATGGATGACACGGGATCGAGGAATTGGCGACGAGCAACAAGAAAGGGGGAGGGTGGGACAAAGATGCGCAAGGTTGGGTTGGGTATGGTTTTGATGACATTGGTGAATGTAGCGATGGTACCGTAATGGTGGCGATTGTGTGGTGGTGGTTGTGGTGGTTGTGTACAGTAATTGTATCGCCTGCCAAGCCAATGGAATGCAGGGGTGGTGGTGGCGATGACGAAAGAAACCGTGGGTGGTCTTCTGGTCCTTGCTTTCGATTGAGTGATCTGGTCTGGCTTCCGGGGACGAGACGAGCAAGGTGAGCCAGCTAATGGGTTTTTAGCTACGGCGGAAGAGGTACTTCCGAACCTGCGCTTTCTAAAAAACTTCTTTTCTACCTGCACACAGCTTCCCAGGTTTCGCGGCCCAGACAGAAGACTTTTTGCGCGAAGACAGAACTCAACTCCAAATGTATCCACGTGTCATCATCTCGGCGCACAACTTTATGTTGCCTTTCTATCCGCACTAAACTAAATCCCTCTCGGCTGGCAAGTGTTAAGGGGCATCAAACCTAAACAACTTGCGACTAAGTGTTTAATGTTGATGCCAAAACTAAATCCCTCCTGGCTGGCATGCTAATGTATGGCATCAACCCTAAACACCTTGTCGCGTGGTGTTTAGGGTTGATGCTCTTGAAAACTTCCCATCCGAGAGGGGTTTAGTTTTGTGCTTGCTGGCGGAAGAAATCCGACGAAAACTGTGCTTGCGTGACGTGCGGAAAAGCCGAGTTCTGTGTAAGCACAATAACTTTTCCGTTTCAGAAGCGGATCAGCGGAAAGTGTGCGCAAGTCGAGATAAAATTCCCTTGAAAGAAAGGAAGATACAGTAGGCCTTCCGCGTAAACTAAAAACCCCCAGCTAATGCTCCTGCACGCAGCAGAGGCAAGCAGAGCGCGTAGGCAAGAAGAGCGCACCGACCGAATCAAACACCACAGAAACCAGTCCTCCCCGCCCCCCACCTACCGCACACGTAATTCTCGATTGGAGTCTGTCTATGTTGACGATTTCTATATAGCCCCGTTTCCTTCAAAATCACGAAAAATGGCCATTTGGGACAGTACCGTTTCCTCCTGCAATCTCCAGCAATCTTGAAGGAAGTTGTTCCGACCAGCAGGACTAGTCCTGAAAAACAAAACAAAAAAGGGCAGGTGTTTGTGAAATTATGGTGCTCAAGACCGAACTCGGAGGGAAATTGTACACGGTAATTCTTGTGAATTCTTGTGTCACAGTAGGTTATATTATGGTGGAGAGCACTGACCGTCAGGACTTTGGGAACTTTCACAGGGCGTTCGACGAACTTTGTTGTCTGCAGAGGGCTCTTCACCCAAGCCGTGACGACAGGTGTCAATCTTGCAAGAAAAGTCCCATCGCATCTGTAGTCAGAAGATGATTCATTCACGAATCTGATTTTAGAATGAGGTATTCAGTGTACTCGGGAAAGTGCTCACGCGACGCGACTCGCCTGCCTCGTTGTCTACCCACCCTGGATGCTGGTTATTGGTCGAAGCCATGGCGCCAGTGGGAGGCAGTTGTGCATTACTACAGTACAGTCCCCGGTTACTGGGTGGAAGGGTGTTGAGTGGGCTTGGGGAAGGTGTTTGCTGTCAAGCGCAGTGAAATTCACATTCACACGTCTTGCACTGTACAGTGTCACATTCGTTTCAATGACGATGAGTTTCCGTATTTGCGGGAAGGCACCCAGAGTTTTTTTTGTGGTCCCCTAAAACACCTCCGCCAAGCAGATGTAGCCAGCAGCTAGGAACTTCAGCAGAAATGGTCCTCACAAGAATGGATAGGTGGTAAGATTGCTTGCATGTCTTTGGCGAACGTCTGCACTTGGACGGGCAAAATGACTAGCATGGAAGCACTTGTTAGGGGATGCTGCTGGCATCCCCATTTTTCGAAAGCAGGAAGTGAACTAACCCTAGTGTCATGCACAAACTGTCGCATCTGATCTGGCGGCTGATCTGGCGTTGACCAAGGGCTGGCTGGTCGGTGAATGGAAAGAAGCCCATGGCCATGTTGTTGATGTGGATGTGGGTGGATGTACAGAATGCAGTAACCCAGAAGGCTCATCCGCACCGCACACCACTGATATGAGTCAGGCCACAGCAAAATTGCAAGGGAAAACATGTCACAAGTAAGGGTGGGTCAAAAGAGTACGTCCAAATGCGGTTTAAAAAGGTTCAGGATTGATCTAGGACGTTCTATTTAAAACAAAAGATGGTTGGGTAGGGTTTCCTGCAAACACATGCAAAGTTTGACCCGCCCTAACCAACATGTGACTCTATAACATGAATGGTAAAAAATGAACGAGTACGGTCACTCTATCGGGTTTGCTGACGGGTTTGGTACCGTAAGTGAGGTCACGGATTCAGTCACTAACAACAGCTGAGAAATCACGCGAATGACACATGTAAATCCCGCAAAAAAATCTTGAAACTTGTAAGGAATTTTCTCGATATTCCTTAGCGCCCCCGCAACATCGCGTACAGCAGCAGCCGTTGTTCGCCCATTACTGCTAACGGTTCTTCGCCAACTTCGCGCGCACTGTTTCACCAAACCTCGCACTGCTGGACCGGCCGTATCGGCTACGCTTCGGGACTAGCCCAAGCCTCGCCTCCAGCGCATCACTAGCTAGCTCGCACGCATCGCGTTACTGTTTGCACGTTTCGCGTATAAATGTTCGCCCATGCCTTCGCTCACATTTTGTACTCGTTTCACACCTTAGTGCAATTCTCGCTACTTCAAGGCAGGGAGGGGTGACCAAGGCGGTGGTACCAAAGGAGAGTCTCGTGGGACAGGAGACGACACGAGCAGGGAGCGGACTCAGGACCAGACCTGGACGCTGCAGCAAACACCTGACTCGACGCAGCTACCTGACCAGACTCAGCAAACGGAGGAGACTCAGTAGTCAGTGTATACAGGCTCGACCCCGGCCGACGGGTAAACGTGGCCAAGTGTCGGCCCGTCCGAGCACACGTGCAGTGAGTCACCCGCTGACTCGCAGGAGTGAACTGGTCAACCCCCCCATCTTGTAGGTCAGCACCACTCACCAAGTTCGTAGAGAACGAGGAGAGGTAGAGACCTGACAGGGTGCCAAAGGGGGCTGCCGGACACGGTAAGACAGTGGAGAAGCGAGCAAGGACAGGACCCCCGGAGGGGTCCGCCAGGGAGACCGCAACCGGCCGACTAAGCGGAGTAGGCGTGGTGTGGTCTCGAAAGAAGGAGCGGGAAGCACCCAAGTTAAGGGTGAAGGTGTGTAAGGCCTGAGCCGATGTGGTACCTGAGAGAGCAGACTCACCAGCACCTGGGGCAGCAGACACACTAGCACCTAGAGCAGCAGCCTCACCAGCACCTAGAGCAGCAGCCTTAATGCCCGGGTCAGGCGGAACACACAGGTAACAGTCACCCTCATCACTAGTAGGCAATGCATACATGGCAGTGAGGATGGCATCATAGTCAATAGTATAGATATCTACCCGCAGCCGAAGCAGCTCCACTCAGTCGGGGAGCTCAGCCGGGTCGCCAAACTACGTACGCCAGGCGTCGCTCAGACGTGCAAAGCAGCGGGACTTTGCGTTACCAAACGTCCCGCAAGGCTGACCAGTCCGAGCACCAGTGCGAATGACGTACGGATAGCGAGCAGTACCCCGTGACCCGCCACGCTGAGCGTACCACTCACGAAGCTGCTGGGGCGAAAGGACCGCGCACGAAAAACGCTGAAGCTGCACCTGGCCACTACAAGCAGCTGCCGAACTACTCACTGTCAGAACATTATAGTTTATGCTATTGTGTAGGCTATAGTGGGGTATCCCATAGGGGGTACAACCCAACTAGGGTTTCATATTTGTACTCGCTTCATTCATAGTTCGACATCATTCTCTCGTTCTCATTTTCACATGGAATCAGAGCAGGTCCCCTCCTAGGGACTGTTCCTAGGGCCCACCGAAGCGCGCCTCGAGTCGCGCTCTCCCTTTTTTTTCTAGCGGCCCGTCGTGCCGCCCTTACGGTCGCGTCGAGCCGCCCTAGCGGCCCCGCCGCCCTACCTAGCGGCCCCGCCGCCCTACCTAGCGGCCCCGCCGCCCTACCTCGCGGCCAAGCCGCCCCATTGCGCGGCCCCGCCGCCCTACCTAGCGGCCCCGCCGCCCTTACTCGCAGCCCCGCCCCCCCCCATCGCGCGGCCCCGCCGCCCCATCGCGGCCCCGCCGCCCCTTCGCGCGGCCCCGCCGCCCTACCTAGCGGCCCCGCCGCCCTTCCTCGCGGCCCCGCCGCCCCATCGCGCGGCCCCGCCGCCCTTTCTCGCGGCCCCCCCCCCGCCCCATCGCGCGGCCCCGCCACTCTACCTCGCGGCCCCGCCGCCCTACCTCGCGGCCCCGCCACTCTACCACGCGGCCCCACCGCCCTATCTCGCGGCCCCGCCGACCTACCCAGCGGCCCCGCCGCCCTTCTGCAGCGGCCCCGCCGCTCCTCTGCAGCGGCCCCGCCGCCCTACCCAGCGGCCCCGCCGTCCTTCTGCAGCGGCCCCGCCGCTTCTCTGCAGCGGCCCCGCCGCCCTATCTAGCGGCCCCGCCGCCCTCTCTACAGCGGCCCCGCCGCTCCTCTGCAGCGGCCCCGCCGCCCTACTTCAGCGGCCCAGCCGAGCCGCCCAGCAACAGAGCAGCCGAGCCGCCCAGCAGCAGAGCAGCCGAGCCGCCCCGCCGCCGAGCCGCGCTGCAGCCGAGCCGCCCGGCCGCCC